ATGATAATATTATATAGGTCTACTGCTAGTTTGTTTACCAGTTGGAGGAATATAATTGAGCTTCATATATCTTAATAAAGATAAAAGAAGAGAAACGATAAGAGACAGAGCTGCTGGTAGTTTAGATGTCTTCTCTCCTGATGTAGTACTGCCCGACTTGCTGTCTACTGCAGCTTTGAATGAGTGAGAGTGGCAGCCATTAGCTGGTCTACTGGAGGCAGCTTGACAGTAGTTCCACAGTCCAATACTTGCTCTCCATTGAGAGACATCAATCATCTTGTAATTATTATTATTATTATAAATGACGTTACAGACCAGTAGTTCCTTTATCCAGTGACTAATGGTAAAGAGTACAATAGAAGTGAGTGTATATGTACCTGAACTATATGGATCATTAATATTACGCTATGACAAGATTCTGTCAGTAGATAGTGATTGGTATTTTACAGTAATTCCTAACCCATCTCTATCTCTCTATGCTTAAGTAGGGGGCACTATAGAAGTATTTTACAAGTGATTTTAACTTGATTTTGTACTAATTAATGAGTAGTTACAAATTCGTACAAATTACATGATTGTATACAGCAGATTTACTTCAGAACTTAGCTTTAAAATGATGCAACAAGATACAGGTACAGTGACTAGAGGTAGCTTCACTATATCAGGGTAGAGTACAACAACAAGACTAAGTACAAGACGGTACAAGAGGCTAGGACAGCAAATTGCAAAGAAAGAACGAGCCCCGCCTTTAATGGGTGGTGCCTATTTGAAATGGGTGTGTCCATGATAATATTAGATCATACACCACTATGTCCATATACTCTATTATCTATGGATCATAGATAATAGAGTAAGCTATGCCAACTACCATGTCTGATCCAGGACTGTTGCCCAAAATTACTGGATCAGGATAAATTACTGTTACAGAATGCTTATGGTGTTATTGATGACCACGTGGCCTAAGATGGCTACTCATTTTTGGCTCTGAGAATAGTCTACCTTATTTTGTTTCTCTGCCGGTTTAAAGTATTTTATACCGGCCACTAAACCAGGTTATTGTCTTACACAACTATATTTTTCTCTGTTTGCCGTTTTTGTAGCCGAGATCGTCACTTACTAGGCCACGTGTTCCAGTCTTCTTAGTCCCCCTCCATCTAGCCCTCCATTCCACTCTGCCAGTCTTTAGACTCGGCACCCCTGTTTTCTTGCCGGTTAATATCTTCTATTGCCGGCCACTAAATCAGGTCAGTCTGCTATTGTTCAGTCTTCTTTTCTGGTGCTCCCTTTATTTTTACAAGGTCCTATGATGGCATCTCGTCCTGATCATACAGGATCAATGGTAGAAAATCTAACAAAGCTAAAGCTTACTGACCTTAAGCAAGTTGCTAAACGCTTATCTGTTGACACTAAGGGTTCAAAAACTGAACTGGTTTTGAGGCTAGAGAGATGCGACCAGGCTGCCCTCTCCCAGGCTATGTCATCGCTATTCCCCCCTGCCCCTAAAGCTGCCACAATTCCTCCTACTGGTGCTGGACCTCAGCGCTCCACTAATTCTATTCCTGCTTGTCCAGTTTGTGATAAACCATTTACTCACAAGTCGGGTGAGGAATCTATTCAGTGTGAAGGGGCTTGTAAAGCGTGGTTACATCGCTGTTGTGCTGGCTTGACAAAGTCTGAGTTTGGACTTCTCTCTCAATCCTCTGTCCCCTTTTTCTGTGTGAGATGTCGTCTAAAAAGTGCTGAGGATCAGATACTCACTCTGCAATCGCAGGTGACAACTTTAACTAACAGGCTGGATGCATTGAACCCGCCTGTCCAAAACTCATCTCCTGTCTTTCCCTCTCCTGACTCAAATAGAGTCTCTCATTCTTCTATTCCCCATCCGAGTCAAGACTCCTCAACCTCTAAGAGAAAATTCAATGTCGTGTTATATGGAATATCTGAATGTCCTGAGGGAATGCCCCGTCACCAGCGGATCTTGAATGATCTTGAGAAGATTCAGACAATTATCTCTTCTCTTGATTGTGCTGTCAACTCTCATTCTATCAGAGATTGTCTTCGGCTGGGTAAATACAGTGTCAGTAGGCCAAAGCCTAGACCACTGTTAGTCCATCTAAACAGAGTCTCTGATGTCCAAGCCATTCTTAGTAAGAGGTCTTCAGTCCCCCCTCCTCATGTTATCAGGCCAGACTTACCTCCCTCTTTAAGAACTCAAGAGCGGGTACTGCTTCATGAAAGGAAGTCTCTCATTGAGTCTGGAGTGAGCCGTCAGTCTATCAAAATCAAAGACTCCTCTAAGATCTATGTAGACAATACCTTATGGGGGTCTGTTTCTGGTAGCGAGTTTACTAGGAGCTCTGTGAATGGTGATACTTCTCTGGACCCTGGAGATGAAAGCTCTCCTGACCTTAGTGCCGATAATGATCCCCATCCTGGAAATAATCCTAATTCCCTTCCTGTTATCACTGTGTCCCCCCGGTCGCCTGGTTCTCCAGCTAGTCATTCTGATGATTGACTAGCATCAGTATGTCTCTGGAATGCCAGGAGCATTGTCAACAAGTTATCTATCTTCCATTCATTTGTTTACTCGTCCCCCTTTCTAATCATTGGTCTCACTGAGACTTGGCTCACTCAGTCTGTGCTTGACAGTGAGGTACTGCCCAATAATTTTACTATTTTTCGTCAAGACAGGTCTAGTAGGGGTGGTGGAGTCCTCCTTGCAGTGCATTCCTCTATTCCCTGTTCTTACCTGCCCTCTCCCCCTGAGCTGGAAATTGTTACTGCACTATGCCACCTCAAGTCGTTCTCTGTCACCATTTGTCTTGTCTATGTACCCCCCAATGCCTCTG